GTCGAAGAGCTGTCTCTTATACACATCTAGATGTGTATAAGAGACAGGTACTATAGCAAGATAGACTTAAAATCCGGCTACCATCAGATTGCAATAAGACCTGAGGATCAACACAAGACTATTTTTCAGACCAGATACGGTCTGTATGAGTTTGTAGTGATGCCCTTTGGCCTTTGCAATGCGCCGGGTACATTCCAACACGCCATGAATAGGATCTTCCATGACCACTTAGATAAGTTTGTCGTAGTCTACCTTGACGATATTCTTATCTTTAGTAAGTCTGTCGAAGAGCATGCACAACACGTTGAGACTGTACTTTCACTCTTGCGGCAACACAAGTATAAGGTCAACCTAGAGAAATGTGAGTTCGGACGCACTAAGATCTTATACTTGGGTCATGAAGTGTCTGCGGAAGGTATTAGGCCGGAAGATGCGAAAGTGGCTAGTATCTGGGACTGGCCACGACCTCAGACTGTTACTGAGGTCAAATCTTTCTTAGGAATGTGCGGCTACTATAGGAACTTCGTAAATAACTATTCTACAGTCGCCTCTCCTTTGACAGATCTAACTCGACTTGACACGCCGTGGGACTGGAGTGACGAGTGCGAGGCTGCTTTCAAACGATTGAAGCATGCACTCATGAATCATGAGGTTCTCATGGTGCCCGATCCTCAGAAGCCTTTCATCGTAACCACTGACGCAAGCCAATACGGCATTGGCGCAGTACTGGCTCAGCAGGATGGGAAAAAATTGAGACCGATTGAGTATATGAGCAAAACGATGCCATCAAAGAAACTGGCAAAGTCCACCTATGAAAGGGAACTATATGCCCTTTACAAAGCACTTGTTCATTGGAGGCACTTCCTGTTGGGACGGTTTTTCTACTTGAGAACTGACCATCGGACCCTTAAATGGATCAAGACTCAACCCGCTCTTTCTGATGCACTCAAGCGTTGGATTGAGGTCATAGATCAGTATGACTTCAAGCTAGAGTATCAGCAGGGAGAGTACAATAAGGTTGCAGATGCGCTGTCACGTAGAGCAAACTACCTAGGGGCGCTAGTTTCTGAGTTTGGTGTATCCGAGGAACTAACTCAATCGCTGGTGGGAGCCTATCAGGAAGACCCTGTCACGATGGACATCATACACAAACTTAGGCGAAAGACAAGGCCACAGAAGATGAGTTTGTGACGGTGGATGGGCTTCTCTTTCTTGATAAGGCCGGTTGTAAAAGATTAGTGATTCCATCTAGTGAACGTTTGCGTAGTTTGTTTCTAGGAGAATGTCATGACGCAACCGGACACTTTGGTTACAAAAAGACGAGTGCTAACCTAGTACAACGATTTTGGTGGCCTGGAATGCTAGAAGATGCAAAGAAATATGTGGAGACCTGTCAGGTCTGTCAGCGGGTCAAGCCGCGAACTCGAGCACCGCTTGGGTTGCTAAAGCCCTTGCCTATCCCCCCTGGTCCAGGACAGAGTGTTTCCATGGACTTCATGGACACCCTGGTGACTAGTAAGAGTGGCAAGAGACACATCTTTGTCATCATTGATCGATTCACCAAATATGCTAGACTAATTGCCATGCTAGAGACCGCAAGGACTGACCACGTCATCAAGTTGTTCATGGACAACTGGGTGCGTGATTTTGGTTTACCAAAGTCAATAACAGAGATGTTCGCTTCACAAGCGAGCTGTGGAAGAAGACTGCTGAGCAGATGGGCAGTCAACTTCAGATGACTTCAGGGAATCATCCCGAAGCCAACGGACATGCCGAGCAGATGAACAGAGTTGTACAACACCTGCTGAGGCATTACATCAAGCCCAGCCAGGATGATTGGGATGAGAAGTTGCCTCTCGTCGCCAGCCTGTACAACAACGCTGTACACATCAGTACCGGCGTTAGTCCTAACCAGCTGCACTTGGGATGGAAGCCTAGATCAGCTCTGGACTTCCTCCTACCTGAGAACCGACCCTCTGCAACTCCAGGCACACTTGAGTACGGTGTACAGTATGAGAAGTTGTTGCAGCAAGCTGTCGAGCACATCAAGAAAGCTCAGCAAGCAATGATTGCTTCTGAGAACAAACATCGTCGACAGTCCTCATTTCAGGTCGGGGAACGTGTCTGGGTCAAGGCTAGTGAGCTAGGACAGGAATTCAACATCTCTCGCAAACTAATGCCTCAGTATTTTGGTCCATGGGAAGTCCTGGATATAGTTGGGGATGAGATGGATGGTCCTACCTATGTTATCCGTATCCCTGGTCACTTACGCACTCACCCTGCCTTTCATGCCTCAAAGCTTGCACCTTTCGCTGAGACAGATCAATTTCCTTCCAGGAGATCAATGCTGCCCCCAACCATGGATGGTCAAGTGGACATCGACGACATTGTGGATCACAAAGATCTGCCTGTTCCAAAGCCACTGGGTAGAGGAAGACCTCCAAAACCCAAGCGGGAGTATCGCGTCCGATTCAGGCATCATCATACGGATCCGAAGGAAGATCGGTGGTTCACCAGAGAGGAACTGATTGACACAGCTCCTCAAGAGGTGGCAGATTATGAGAGAATGTTAAAAGGGAAGGCACCTGCGAAGTAAGCATCTCAGCGGACTTTCGAAGCTAAGGGGGATGGAATGTGAGGATTAAGCCCTCAAGAAGGCGCCTTGCCATGATGTACATGTTCTGGGCTAAGGCCCCAACAAGCCTCGTGCCCGCCCTAAGTGAAGGCGGGCCAGCAAATCAACAAGAGCCCTCTGTGCCAACATTTCACGAAGTGGGGTCCATACAGTTGCAGCACACCAGTTGGTTGGAGTGCACCGAGTATCGGAGCTCTGGAAATGCAGAAATCCCAGGGCCCCAGAGTTGGTTAGGCCCTGGGCACATAAACGTGAGG